GGATTTTCTTCTTTGCCCTGTATGACCCTGCTCACGTTATCATAATTCACAAATATCTTAATGAACCTTTTCACCTCCATGATGAAAACAGCTATCATGTTAGACATTATTTTTAACCCACCACTGGTCTTATAATCCCATTAAAAAAAAAAATCCCGTTTTGTTTCTACTGAAGGGAAAACAGCCTGTCCAGTGTGGTTTCTTTTCCTTCTTAAAGCACATTATTCATTTGCATAGTTCTTAGCTGCTGGTAGGATTCTTTACCTTTCATGTGAGGTCTAGCAAGTGGTCTAGATAAATTGGACATCTTGCCATAATATGTTAAAAGCAAGGGCCAAAGTTTGAAACCCATCTACAAACTTACTAGGATCCTCTGAAAGTTGGTCTATATATTCTTTGCATATCTGCGACTGAAAAAGGGACCTGGACTTGAGTAGTCCCTTCCACTCTTGGGACCTCTCTCAGGGGCAGAACAAATTATGAGTTGGAGGCATAAGAAGCACCACTCTGAGTACATCCTGAAGGACTTAAAATTATCTGAGAAGCATGGTGAGGGGGCTGAGGGATACTGGTTCCTCTGGGGCACTAGGCTCTGATGGAGTTCCCGAGTCACTTGAAGAGGATAGGATTGATTTATTGGCCTTCAGATATAAGGAGAGGGTTGAGGAGGCTTCCCCGTGTGGTTATCTTCATTTAACATGTGGGAGAGTCTTCATTTCCCCTGAAAGACAGATGGGGATCTGGAATAGGATCATTAACGATCTCCCTCTCTTCCTCAGGGATCACTAACTATCATAGTTTCTGGGTTTTTCCTGAGGTAAAGGGTCATAAAAGGCTGTAACATAAGGGAATTTATTCTACCTTTCATGCTTTATGCAGAAATGATTTAACTGAGAAATAGTGTCATCATTTAAACTCTCATCCTATACCCATCTCTCACCATTTGCTATTTTATACCAGGCCCAAACCATATTGCAATAATAGATAAGTAATTCCATTTTCAAATTGGCAGGGTCAAACTGTTCCCACTGATCAAAGACACAGGCTAGCAGTGAGGTAGGTTGGATATGTGGGATGTTTTTCATAGTGTTTCCCATGGCTCACCTTTGGGTGGGAAGTGTGTGTGTGTGTGTGTGTGTGTGTGTGTGTGTGGAGAGAGAGAGAGAGAGAGTGAGAGAGAGAGAGAGAACAAGGTCTTGGATCTTTCTGATGGCATCCCATGCAGAAGGAGACCCACTGAGATAGAAAGCAATCACTTGTGAGATTCAAGTACTTACTAAGCACTGTTAGTAAGTACTATTCAAAGCTGGGGTGACACCAGTGTCTTTCCTAGAAGAGTAGAGTCCCACTGAGAGCTCTCTTGGCCTTCCAGCTCTCCATATGGTGGTCCACTAACTCCTTAGGGAGAAGGATGAGCTCTTTAGCATCTTGTGTCCCTTAGAAACTCCCCTGAGATTAGAGTGGGAGACCCACTCCCAGGGACTCCCTTAGCCACTTAAGAACTAGTATATTTTTGAGAGATCAGGGTAGAGCTACTTAATGGCTTTATTTGTCGTACTCACAGCTCCTAGAGTTGAGCTTTACTGGGTGTTCTTTTGTTCTGCTCGGGCCATTACCAAATTTCTGTGAGAAGACACAAGGAGAGGGTCTTACCCAATTAAAAAGAGAAAAGGGAGAAGGCACATATGTTCCGTAAACTCAGAGGTTTAGTTCCTACCTACAAAGGTGAGATTTCCTGGTGATTATGAAGGCAATTAAGAAAAAAGAAAAAGTCAAACAAGCATGGTGGAATCATGTGACTGACTCAAATGACCAACTGAAATGGTTGATAAACATGGCTGAATCCATGTGGTTGATCCACAAGACGAACAAAAAGGGCAAACTCAGCCACTAAAGTGGCTGACCCATGTGATGAACCAAAATGGCTGCCAATCATAGCAGAATGGTGGCCTGGGATGAAACAAGGCCCCACGTAAGCAACTTGCTAATGATACCCAAAGATAAAAGGCCATCTAGGTGAAAGCACAGATGGGGTTTTGAGCACAAAAAGGAGTAAACTGGGGTAGGCATCTATTTAAGCACAAAACCAAGTTACTAATAGCTTAAAAAGTAAGAAAGCTAAGCAATGAATCATGGAAAGCAGAAACATGAGACAAAAAGGCATACCAAATTCCAGGTCACATACATCTGCAGATTAGCACAGTTTATCATACTGTAAGCTAAAATGTTCCTTCCTTGTCTATGTCCCCCATCAGATAGGGCACTCTGGAAGGACAGAGGCTATCTCCTTCATGGCTGTTTCCCTAGAACCTAGTGTAAAACTCAACCAATTTCAGAACAGATGAAGGTTCTGCAGAATGTGGCTGATCTTCAGGAAGTAAAGATACATTTTATCTCCAAAATCTTTCAATTCGTCTTTTGGTTTGTCACCAGGACTTCACACACACTTTATAAGGGATTCCCTCAATGACAATCACTCCACTGCCCTTTGCTACTGTGTTTAGTAGATATAGTGGTGGGTGAGCCACGCCTTTAGTGCTGGGGACTAGGTCTGTGTTGTTCACTTGTATGAGTCTGGTTCAGCTCTAGGACGTTGTTTGGTGGGAGAGATTTGGGTATATCTGGGCTCCTTCTTGGGGCCCTCCTTCTTCTGAGGTGGGCCACTGCAAAGCATGGAGCCTTGGAAAGTCTGAAGCTCTTGCCTGAGAACCCTCATTTGAACCTCAGTCTGCAATTGAAATTCACACTCTTAAACTGACTCCCACATACAGATCTTAACCCTCTTTCTGTAATGAACTCCAGCCCTTTCTTGTCAGAACTCAGTGTGTTCCCATGAAGCCTCCAATGCCATCTCTGAGCCCCCAGCCCTTCTTGTCCAACCATGCACTCTCTAGGCAGTCCTCCACCCTAAACCCTAAACCTTTGCCAGAGGATTGTTGGGAAGAGAGCAGCCACTTGGTACCTCTATGGCTTTTGTGTCAGTCTGTGTTCGTTCATAGCTCCTACTCCAGGAGTCCGAGCAGAAGTGTTCCTTGCAGGCAGCTCTTCCCCAGCTGATGTGGTAATAATCAGGGTGGGGGCTACATGGGGACATGGGCTGGAGGTGCAAAAAGGCCTCCTGGAGAGGGGTTAGAAAGGGTCAAGATGCAGTTCTGGGAGAGGGCTGGGGAGATTGAGCTTGAACCTAGGTACCCTTGGGAGGGACCTTGGTTGGGGGTATATTCAGAGGAGGACAGGGCTTATAGGTTTGTAGAGTTGCTGCAAAGAGGGCTTTGGAGGAAGAGGTTGGGGGAAGGATTGTGCTTTGGCTCTAGGGTGGGACTCACCTCACTGGGAAGCTTGCTCTGAGGGTCTCTGGTCCCTGGTCTTGCCTCCTCCCTCCTCTTCTCTGTCTCTGTTCACTCCTCGAGGCCTTTCCCTTCGATGTTCTGTTTCTGTTTTAGAATAGAAGCAAATACCACCCAAACTGGGGCAGGAGAAAGTGCATAAAAGGGGTCGTTATGCTATGGATTCCTCAGGGAAAAAGCAAAGGTTCCACTTTGAAATTTATGCATTGGGTTCCAGATCATAGCCTGGATCCTCTCTGCCTTCTCAGTGTGTCTCCGAACCTCTGGATGGGCCTTTCACATACCATGTATATTTCCAAAGGCCTCAGTCTTCTCCAACCAGGGAAGTGTAAGTCTCTGAGATCTGTCTAGACATTTATAGGATCTTAAAAGAAAGTGGACAGAGAAAGGGGTTGCTTGGGGTAGAGAATTAACGGGGGAAAAGAAAAGGGAGGAGTTGGAGTAGGGTGCCTGTCAGGATTGGAGCCCTCTTCCTTTGCTGAGTTCACGACCCAGAGACAGACATGGGCTATTGGTTGGACCTATGCCCAGCCCCTTCATCCCATCACCACCCTCCATAACCCTGCAGGACCCAGGGTACAGGGTAGGAAGACTAGACAGCTTCTTTTTTTTTTTTTTTTGTACAGGAATTGAACTCAGGACTTTGCACTTGCTAGGCAGGTGCTGTGCCACTGAGCTATCTCCCCAGTCTACAGCTTCTTTTATAAACCCCAATGAGGTGACAATTAGCCCTCAGTAGGTCAAGGGAGACTTCCATGCTGCTCTGTCTTTTGAAGCTCTGAGAAACCATCGTGTAGTCCCTCAAAAGTGTTTATTCTTCTAGAAGCATCTAAGTCCCCATTCTTCTTCAACTCCCATATCCTGGATTCCACAATCAGACACCCTTCTTAGTAAGACTTTCTCTGATGGGCTTTGACTTCTGGTTTAGTTTGGTGTCAGAGTCCCCCTAACTGCCAGATGATTTTGTGTCTCTTCTACAAATGACTCTCTTGGAGCTTGAGCAGGATGTAAGTTTTGGTGGGGGAGCAAGGCTTCAGAAGTTATATTTGTTATAACATTCACTTGCTTTATACACCTCAGATGGGTCCATGCACATTTGGATTTATCCAACTCTTGGAATCCTAACTAATATGTACACAGGTATTCTCCCAGAGCTATGGGCTGACTATTCTAGCCAAATGTAGATTTTTAGCACACAGAAACTGATGTTTTCTGTATCAAAATTAAAGTCTCCTTTTTATTACCATGAATCCCTCCTGCTCATATATCTTTAATCCATGTTTTAACCCTTACCGTAGAGTATTTAACTGAAATCCCAAACTCAGTTCTGACCCAGTTGTAAGTAATCCTAAATCAATCTCAACCTAGCTTTTTTGTTTTTTTCAGTTTGTCTTTATTTTTTTAAATTTATTTTAAAAATAAAAGGAGGAAAACATTAACAGACAGACATTTTACAACATATCAAAAGAACAGTACAGACAATACAGAGTTACAAACAAAGTGGTAGGGAATTAACAATGGTTGTTTTATTACATATTGATATCTTCCTTTCTTTTTTTTTTTTTTTTTTTTTTCTTTGTGGTACCAGGGATTGAACTCTCGACCTTGTGCTTGCCAGGCAGGCTCTTATGCCACTGAGCTGTATCCCTAGCCCCCCACATATTGATATCTTTCAACCTAGCTTTTGATTTCGCCCTAGCTGCATTCCTAAACCTATTTGTAAGTGAAACAAAAATCCTATTCTTTATCATAATATCAATCCCAGAATAAACCTTTGCCTCAGTTATAGCTGTAATTCTAAGCCTAATACCAACCTAACTCTAATACCAACTTCAAATCTGACCTTACCCTCATCCATAATTTCAGCTAACCCCAAACTTGACCTCAGATCCAGGCTTCACTGCAACTCTAACATTAGCCTAAGTCCAGAACTCAGTTAACCCCGCCCTGCGCTTCATTTTAATGGAACCATGGCTATAATCCTTTCCTTTCCATTTCCCTCTGCTCAGTCCCCCTAGTGTTCCCTTCTTCCCACCACTGAGCACCCAGGCTTCCTTCTCATGAGTGACTCTAGTAACCCATAGAGTCACCAAGTCCTTTTTTTGGACCTTTCTAGGCTGAGTCAGGATGGCTGGCCATCTCTACTTAGGCCCCAGCAACACCAATTGAATCAAATCCCTATGTTTTCCAGGCCTCTGTTTCCTCATCTGTAAAATAGGGATGATGATTCCTGCTCTCCAGAGGGTGCAGGACAATCCCATAAACCTTAAAATAAATACGGAAATAAGGGTATTCACTGTGTACCTCTCGTGGGCCCCAAGGCATCCTGTTGTTGAAGTTCGGGGAGAGGGGTTTGAAATACAGAAACACATGGGCTCCTAGAACTTCCTAATTCTTCTGTCTTATTTTTCTCAGAAGGGCGAGTCCTGGCAGCATCCTCCAGGCCCACAACTCTTTCTGAGATTCTTTTCCCTCTGCCCTTCATGAGCCCCATGTCAGGGGTTGAGGGAGGGCCCTTGACTCCTTTGAGGGCGTCAAGCAGTTGGATAGGGCCCCTCCTAACCTGCCTCCTGCGGGCAGTCCTGGAGCCTAGGGGAGGCCCAAGTCTGTTCTGTACCCCTGGGGCAAATAACAAGGGCTGCCTTCTACTTTCTCCTTCTGCTGGCTGGGACCCTCCGCACAGCCCAGCTCTAGCCTGCCCAGAACTGCGCTGGTTTCCTCACTCCAATGACCTTAGTCACCCAGACAGTCAGTCCAGGTTATAAGGGTCTATATTAACCCTTCAAGCCCTGGTCGCTCTTCCTGGGCATCGAAGCTGGTACCAAATGACCCCTCAAAGAAGCACACAGAGACTCTTTACAGAGGCAACCCCCTCCCTTCCCACCTGTACACCCTCACTCAGGCACACATGCACATAGTCCTCCTGGACATCCCCTCACCAGGACAGTTCCCTCAATTCCCCATCCATTCCTTCATGCCCTCCACACACCCTGGTCCTTCTTCTCTCAGGTCTCAGCAAACTGTTTTAACTCTGTGTGTGCAGTTAGGGCCTGGGTCCCCCATAACACCTCTGGCTCTTGAGGCTGCCCCCAGCTGGCATGGGTGGAAGCACAGCTGCAGGGAAGACCCTGCTCCTATACACGCTTCTTCCCTCCTCCTTTTAACTCTGAGGCCCTGCTCCCTTTGAAGGGCCAGAGGCCTGGAGGGGAAGGCGGGCTGAGCATTCCTGGATCCCTTTCATCTGCTGGGCCTGCCCTCCAGCCCAGGTGCCAGCATGACAGAAAGGTCCACTTCCCTGCTGCACTTTTCTCAGGCTTCCACCTGCAGGGATCCCCCTGGAGGCTCAGGAACTGGGAGAGTATGTGGAGCCCAGTGTCCTGGGCCAATGTTAACCCTTCCAGGCCTGTTCAGCCTTCCTCCCCCAGCCCGGCTTGTCCTTCCTTTTCCCACTTCCCCCAGGGAAGGAGACAGCAAATGAGTGGTGAGAGGAGCTCCCTGGACGCTGTAAAATGGGGCAACTGTTGTCACCCCAGGATGGGGCCAGGAGGAAGTGGATGTTTAACAGGTGCCTAATTACAAGTCCCCCTGGTCACTCTGTGCTACTCTCAGGACAGGGAAGAGCTTGGGTGAGGGCTGGGTAATGCCTGGGTAGGCCATCCTGTCACCCCGCTAATTAGGGTTACTGGGGCTCCTCCCCAAGGCGGGGACCAGGCCCCCTCCCTCCCATAGAAATAACGCCGGCTGCTCCCCAGCTGGGCACTCACTGCACCTTCCTGCCACCCCAGGCAGTGTCTGGGCCCTCAGCTCCCCCTCCCTCCACCTGCCCCTTCCACCCACCACCACCGGCCCACAGGAACCCAGCCCAGTTGGAGGTGACACCGAGCCAGAGATATGCGAGTCCGAGGAACATTCCATCTTCTGCTTGTGTGCCTGAGCCCAGGTATGGGGCCGGGCAGTGGGCAGGGCAAGGGGCAGCCGGGGCTCACGGCGTGCGTGCCCACCCTCACTCCACTGCCACCCTGGTTTGGACGCTGCCAAAGGGACCTCTGCCCAGGATAGCCAGTCTCCTGGAAGTTTGGGGCAGGATCTTCCTGGTGTCTGAGAGCCTGTGGGGCTCACACCTGTGTGCAGGTGCCCTGCGTGCTGTGCCCATGCCGGGACCCGGAGGACAGGGCTTGCTGGAAGTGGGGTAGGAGTCAGGTGAGCAGCAGGTCTGGGTGGGGGCTGGGGAGGAGCCTGGGAAGGATCAGTTTCCATCAAGACAGTCTGATTGTGGGAGGGGCTGCTTTTCAAGGCCAGAGTTCCGGGCCGGGGCAGAGGAATTGACAGTCCTGAGAGGCTAAGCCCAGGTGGGCCATTTCCATCCTGAAAGGTGACAGCTCAGGCTTGAGACCTCCAGTGTGGGTCCCTGCGCTGTGAGAATTCCCCTTCCAGGATGAGGCCAGAGGAAGGGGACAGAAGGCAACTCCCAGTGCCTCCTCACCTCTCTGGGGTACTCCTGAAGGGCAGGACTCAGTTTTGGATACTGTGGCACCCTGCCCAGGCCAGGCAAGTCCCAGCAAGGGCCATTCTGTTGTGTATCACGGAAATAGCTCTCTGCTGCTCCTGGGGTCTGGATTGGGGATGAAGGGGTGTGAGGAAGGAGTGTGGGGAGGGGACTGTGTCAGCCTGTGCGCTATGTGTGGCTGAGGGTATCCGGCAGGATGCCTGTTACACTCTTTGCGTCTTGTGAGAATAGAGCTGGCAGAGCTCACCCAGGGCGCCTGGCTATACTCTGCGGAGCTGGGACATGGCCATGTGCTGTGTGGACACATGCCACTGCACAGCTTTTTCTTTGTCTTCCTTTCCCGGCTCTTACCTCCTTATCTGGAAGCTGCCTGAAAATTCAAAGAGGATTTACAATTATTGAGGGGACATCCCCCTAGACAGTGCCAGCTCCGGTGGTTTTGTGCAGAGACAATGGCCACTGTCTTCCTTGGAGAGCACCATGTGACCCCCTATTCTCAGCTCTCTTCCACAGTGGCTTTATTCCTTTCTCCAGCCTCCCTCTTCCCTCTTGCTCCTTGATTTAGGAAAGCACCTCCTCAGTGTCTCAGCGTGAGGAAGCATGGTGACACAATAGGAACAACTTCCTAAGAAGAGGGAGGAGGTGCAAAAGGCTGAACCCCTGGGAGGAGGCTGAGAAAGCTTCTGAGGATGAGAAGATGGGGTGAGGCTGGGACAATTGAAGAAAGGCACTCAGTGCAGGGTGGAGGCATAGCCTGTCCCTCCTCCTCAAGCCCCTTTCTCTGAATCCTCCCGCTCCTGCCTGCCTGGCCTCCGCGGTGTGTGGGAGGAATCCTCCCTGCTGCCGGCTGTTCCAGTGGCTCCGCCGCAGGGTGGGGCCTTTGCTCTCACCTGAGTTCTGGCTCATCCTTGGCCTCCCTTGTACTGCACTGGATCTGGCAGATAGCATTAGGATCCTTATCTCAGGAATGAGCTGGTATTCTCTTGGCCTGGGGCTGGAGGAGGCTTCACCAGGTCCCGTTAGCACCTCTGCGGCTGCCAGCAGCCAGCCGGCTGGATCCGGGCCTCTACAGTCTAGCTGAGTTAGGGCATGGCTGATGGCCCAAGCAGGGTCCCAAAGGGCAAGTTCAAGGACCCCTGGGGAGCTGGAAGTGCCCTTGTTTGCCTCTCAGGAGCCAGGCTACACCTGGCAGGTAGGGCATCTGCAGATATGTCTGGTCTTGAATGAACAAACATGAAACCATAAGAGCGTGAAGTGGGTGTGTCTCTGGGTTCACACGTCCTGCGTTTGTCTGCAAATGTGTATCTGTGTTGATATAGACTGTCAGTGTCTGTGTGTGTAAGGAGGACTGCACAGGAATGTATCTGCATTTTGAAGGCTTAAAAGGGTATGTCTATGTGTTGATTTGTCTTGCCTATGATCCTGAAATTGTGTGAGATGCTCTTGAGGTGTGCAAGTGGTCCTGAGTCAAAGAAGTAAGAAATAGCATTATTGCTGAGACTTGGGGTTGGGACTCCACAGGTCATGCTGACTTGAAAAGTCTGGGGCCGGGGATATAGCTCAAAAGCACAGCACCTGCCTGGCAAGCACAAGGTCATGAGTTCAATTTCTGGTACCATAAAAAAAAAGGTCTGGAGATGGAAAGCTAGCCAGCTGGCTGAGGGGCCCGAGGAGGGATTGTTGCTAGAGACCTGAGGCAGGGTGCTGAGTACTCAGGGTGGGTCCCTGGGCACATCCCCCTCTTATCCCCCTCTAGGTCTAACCGGTTTGTTTGGGCTGGTGCTTGCCTGGGGCTTTGGGATGGGGAGGGAGAGGAGCTCAATCCTGAGCTTCTGGCTCCTGGCTCCTAACCCTGGTTGCTTGCCTCTGACTCAGTGGCAGGAGGGGCCCCACTGTAGAAGCAGCTGTACCTGAGCCACAAGGGGAAGGACACAGTCTGCAACAGCACATGTCATCATGCCAGGCTTCTTCCGCAGATGCACGCAGCCATGGTCCCAGGCACACATCATCACTCACTATCACACCTGAGCACGGGCAGGATCCAGGCCATAGCTGCCCACTGTCATGCAAGGGCACACACTGTCACTTAGAGCACTTACACAGTCAGCACACATTGTCACATGCCATCTGGAGGTCCACAGCCACAGACGCACACAGTCATACCCAGATGCACATGGACAGACACATCCAGTCTATTGCTTCTCATGCTGGAAACTGACCCCAGAAATCCTTGTATCTATTCTTCTGCTTCTGGCCATGAGCACCTCACTTGGCCCAGGCAGGCCTGGGCACAGCCCAGACAGGTGATTTTTAATCAGCCAGCTTCTTCCATCGGAGCATTTAATACCTCTGGGTATTCAACATGCCTACACACAAACCCAAATACAGACGTATAACAGATCACCCACACTGTCACATAAATATATAAGCAGATATCCCACACAGTCATGTGCATGAATATCCTTGGAGCTACAAGTGCTTATAAGAATACGATGTACATAGGGGTGTACAATGTATATATACACCGAACCATGTATGCATACATGCAAACATAACAGCTATGTGTATACAAACAATATTCAGAGGCACACCCACACACTCACAGAATATATACATGACCCTGTGAACATGCAAGACACTCCCACACGAATAAACAAGCAACACAAGTGTGCACAGACATGCCCGTAACTATTCTCACACACACACATGCACACACACACATACACGCACATGCAAGCAGCTCCTCCTCCCTGTGGAAGCCCCACTGAGCCCTGGATGACAACGGAAAGAGAATGGTAGAAGGAGAGGCTGAAGCTGACTACTGAACCTCTGGCCTGCTCCCCTCACCCCACCTGCTTTGCCTTCCCCAGCACTGCTGTCTGCTGTACGGATCAATGGGGATGGCCAGGAAGTCCTGTACCTGGCGGAAGGTGATAATGTGAGGCTGGGCTGCCCCTACATCTTGGACCCTGAGGACTATGGTCCCAATGGGCTGGACATTGAGTGGATGCAGCTCAACGCAGACCCCACATCTAGAGAGAATGTGGTGAGTGCTGGCCACAGGGTTCTCGTTACTGTGTACTTCATTGGGCAGCCAACATCCTGTGAGGAAGAGGAAGGCAAGAAGTGAAACCAAGACCTTGAAATTCCCCCAGTGACTCTCAGGGAAATGGGATAATTGGGATGAGTCGTGCAGCTGGGAATCCAGCCAGCCATTCAGTCTACCTCCTCTTACCCCATTCCAATGGGAAGATCAAATACTGCTGCTGGCCACAAGTTCCTAGCCTCACGTGCTGCTTTCCAAAGTGCTTGATCTTATCTGATTTCACCCATTCTGTAAGAAATCACTGGATCATACATAAAAAAAAACACAGTCTCAGAGAAGTGAAGTGAATTGCCCAAAGCAGCCAAGCCACATGGCCTCCTTGGTTCTGCCTTTCTCACCACTTGTTTTCCTCTTCTTCAGTTTCTTAGTTACCAGGACAAGAGGATCAACCATGGCAACCTCCCCCACTTGCAGCAGAGGGTCCGCTTTGCAGCTGCAGACCCCAGCCAGTATGATGCCTCTATCAACCTCATGAACCTACAGGTATCCGATACAGCCACCTACGAGTGCCGGGTGAAGAAGACCACCATGGCCACCCGGAAGGTCATTGTCACTGTCCAAGGTATGACCAGATTACTCCTGCTCCCCTTCTCCAAGCTTTGGGGCCAAGGGCAGCCTAGCCACTGTGAACTGCCACTGCCTCTGCCTCTCGAGGGGGTCCCAGCTCACAATCACCTGCCTCCCTGCAGCACGCCCTGCAGTACCCATGTGCTGGAGTGAAGGCCACATGACAAAGGGCAACGATGTGGTGCTGAAGTGCTTTGCCAACGGGGGCTCCCAGCCACTCTCCTACAAGTGGGCCAAGATCAGTGGGCACATCCACCCCTACCGAGCAGGGTCCTACCACTCCCAGCACAGCTATCACTCTGAGCTCTCCTACCATGAGTCCTTCCACGGCACCATAAACCAAGGTAAGGGGCCTGGTGGGGGCAGCATGCAGAGGACTGTGGGACCTGGTGGGGTTTCCCTGGTTTATCGGTGGCACCAACCTCAACTTGGAAGAGCTGGAGGACTCTTCCTCTGGGCCTGTCCCAGCAGCTCCTGTTGAGGGGAGAAGAGAAGGCAGAATTGGGGAGTCAGCCAAAAGCAGTGTGGTAATCTGGAAAGAGTTCAATTTGAGATGGAGCTGGGCTTGTTCCTGGCTGAGACACTGACTAGCTAGCTGCAATCCTCAGGCCAGCGGCTTACCTCTCTGTGCCTTGATTTCTTGACATCTGAGGGAATCCAACCATCTGCCTCTCAGGGACTTGTGAGGGCTAAATGGAATGAGGTGCCTGATGCTCCTAGCACAGAGCAAAGGGACCTCAGAGTTCCCCTGATCCAACCCTGTTCTTACTTTACCAGTAAGGAGGCTCAGAGAGGGAACGTATTTCCCTATGGTCACAGAGAATGAATGGTGTTGCTGACTTATTCTGGGGGGGTGGCCCTTCCCTGCTGCTGGTTCTCAGCATGGGGGAGGGGTCTCAGCTGAGGGTGAGAATCTGTGTGTGTGTATCCCATCCCCCACCCCACAGGGGCTGAGGCTGAGGTGGGTGCTTGCAGAGACCAAGTCTTTCTCTCATTATACCTGATGCTCTTTCAATTTCAGGCCTGAGCAACGGGGACCTGGTGTTGAAGGACATCTCTAAGGCAGACAATGGGCTGTACCAGTGTACAGTGGCCAATCACGTAGGCTACAGTGTCTGCGTGGTGGAGGTGAAGGTGTCAGGTAGGTGCCCTGGTCCTGAGGCTCCCGGGCTGGGAGGGCTGGAGAAGAGGTACCTGGGCTCTGCCTTCCAGCTGGAAGCTCTGGGAGAAGCAGCCGACATGCAGCGTTCACGTGCATCTCCCACACCTTCCCCTCTGCCTGTCCCAGAACCCGAGACCCCCTGGGTTCCTATGCCTCTTTCCCACAGACCCGTGCCGTGGCACCTCCTGGTCAATCGGGTACTTGCCAGGGGGTGAGATGTCTGACTGTCTCCACCTCTCTCCACAGACTCCAAGCGCGTGGGCATGATCATCGGCGCCGTGCTGGGCTCTTTGCTCATGCTAGCCTGCATGGCCTTGGGCATCTGGGGGCTCGTCGTCTGCTGCTGCGGGGGCCCCGGGTCTGGCGGCGCCCGCGGTGCCTTTGGCTACGGCAACGGCGGCGGGGTCGGCGGCGGGGCCTGCGGCGACTTGGCTAGCGAGATCAGGTAAAACCTGATGCATGCTGCTCGCTGCTGCGCGGCAGGGGGCCGGCCCTGCCCTCCTCCCCCTGGCTGCCACCGGCCGGCTGGGACCCCCACCCCAATCCTGCCTGCCATCGCCACGGAGTGCTGGGACCTCAGCATGACGACCTGCCACTTGCCGCATGGCTTTTCTTCCCTCTGCCCGTCTCCACCTCCGCTCCCCTGCCCTCTATCCCCTCCAGTCTTCGAACCCCTCTGTCTGTCGGTCTGTCTGTCTTCCTTCCTAGACTGTAAGCTCCTGGAGGGCAGGGCCTTTGTTTTTTTCCCACCCACATTTCCCTTGTATTGCGCCGGTGAGAACTTTGACCTGCTATTTAAGAAGTTAATAATAAGAATAGTGCCAATAACTTATATTAGAAACTAGAAATAAAAACAGAACAAGACTAGGAGTGCTAATGATTGCAATGCCTTGGGGATAAGATGGAGACGTGAGGGGCAGGAAGTGAGGGGAGACAGCGAGCAACGCCCAAGGTCAGGGTTAGCGAAGGAAAAAAGGAAGAAGGGAAGGAAAGCAGCCTCGATACCCTACGGCTTCCTCCCTGCAGAGGCGGCATTTCTGCCAAAGCTCAGGAAGGGTGGAGGGCGCCGGGATGGGGCTGCCGGCGGCGCGCGGCCCAAACACGCTTGGACAAACCGCGCCTGGAGGACGGGATCGGTGACACCCCCGTCCTCCGCGGTCACTGTAGGGTCGCCGTCCAGGAAGGTGCAGAGAGATGTGTAGGTCGCAGCCGAGGGAACGAGATGAGGGCAGGTAGAGGAGGGAGGCGCGGGAGACAGGTTGCCACGAGCCCCCAGCTCTGCCCAGGCCTTCCCACGCCGCGCCGCGGAGGAGCCGCTCACCCGCCCGCCTGTTGTTTTCCACAGAGAGGACGCCTTGGCGCCCGGGTGCAAGGCCAGCGGGCGCGGCAGCCGCGTCACCCAGCTCCTGGGGTACCCGACACAGAACGTCAGCCGCTCCCTGCGCCGCAAGTACGCGCCCCCGCCCTGCGGCGGCCCGGAGGACGTGGCCCTGGAGCCCCGCGCCGCCGCCTGCGAAGCGGGCCCCTCCCCGGTCTACGTCCAGGTCAAGAGCGCCGCGCCGGCCGAGGGCGCCGAGGGGCTGCAGCAGTGCAAAGACGGGCTCTTGGTGTGAGCGCGCGCGCCGGGCTGCGCCCCGGCAGGGACAGAGCGCGGGGCTCTCCGCCCGCAGCCGGGGACGCGTTCGGGCCTGTGCGCACCTCGCTCTCTCCCCGCAGGCTGCCTGGCAGCTGGGGGTCGGGGAGGTTGGCTGAGGGATTTCTTTAGGGGAAAAGAGTAGGGAAGCACAGCCTCCTCCCCCAAAGCGGGAGGGGGCCGGGAGGGACGGAGGAAGGCAGTCCTGAGCCCTCCTGCACCCCCAGGCTCCAACGCTCGGTGCGAGAGTGGGAGGAGAAGCTTAGTCCGTATGAGAGAGCGGCCCAGGCGCAGGCCGGGCGTCCCCAGTCAAAGCGGAGGGTCCCGGGCCAGGTGGGTGGGGGTCTGGACTAAATTGTTCGGTGTGTTAGATCTGAGCTCCAGGCAACAGTGTTAGCACAATAAAGAAGCTTTAAGACTTGAGCCTCAGGTGGTTTGTCTTTTGTTCCACAAAGGGTTGGGAGGGGGCCTGGCTCTGGGTTGAAGTTGTTCCCTCCCTCCCCTGCTAGCTCTCTCCTCTTCTCTTTTTTATAGGGAAAGGCAGAGCGCGAAGGAGCCATCTAATCCTCCTTCACAATACAGATGGGGAAACTGAGGCTCACGGCTGGACTTTAAGTCCAGAACCCTACCTTTCCTTTTCATTCTAGAATGTCAGAAGAGAAAGCAGGAAACTGCCAGAGCTGAGCACCCTCAGTATCCTCCTCCCTCCTCGCATCTACCTAATGCTCACTTCTTTCTCTCTCCCAGATATGTGCTTCTCTGAAACTGCCAGAAAGGGGTCCAGAGTCATACTTTGATGGGCAGAGAGACCATGTAACCTATGACAGACCTGTAACCTAGCTCTCCTTTTGATAGGAAAAAGATTTTTATTGCGCACCCTTTAAATGTGAAGTGCTATTAGATATTTTACTCTATTTATCCCTTACTTTTAGTCCTGCGAGGTTGTCCATTATCCCCGTTATGGAAATGAGGCTCAGGAGGATTAGTTAGGTATTTCCAGCAAAGCAGCAAAGGTAGTACTTCAGGATCTGGTCTAGGAATATTTGACTCCAGGATATCAGGCTGTTTCCCTGATACTTGAATTCCGGACAAAGGATATTCCAACCTCTTCAGCTCACCACCTCTCAAAGCTGGTCGTTATTTAACAGAATGTTTCTTTTATAGAACTCGTATAGCTTTTATCCCTTGGTCTAAGTTCTACTCTTAGCGAGTCCGGAGCATCATACTTCTAATTCAGCTGCATCTAGAGTCAAGTATTTGTCCTCTATATACTGGACAGCGGTAACAGGCACACAACTAACTAGTTTATGTCTGGTGCAGAGGTAGAGATCTTCAGAAATGTGTACTACTTGAAGGCCACCTAGCTCTACCTGCCCTTCTCCAGCCACCTGCTTGTTTGAGAGCCCAGACTCTTCCTTCTTACACTGTCTCTCTTTGAAGAGAAGCTGGTCCACCTAATTCTTTCTGCTTCTACTCTAGGGCCACATGAAGTGACATATGCATGGGCCTCAGAGCATCTGCGTTTAGGAAGCCTTGAAACCCGGCCTGGTAACTGGAACGAGGAAGCCTCTGAGTTGGCTTGGGTTCTTGCACAGGGGTAATGGCCTTGGCGGTCTGCCCTTACAGAGCCAGGGAGGAAAATAAGAGATACTGATGAGAGCAAGGGAACTAGGGACAGTTGAACTGCAGGCAGGGAGGTGGGGGCACTTAGAGGATGGGCAAAGGTATAGAGGGAAAGAAATTACATAGGGAGAGGAGCAGACAATGCCAAGAACCATCTGCCATTTTGCTTGGCCACATTTATGAGCACCTCTCACATGATTTATTCACAGGTAGCTCTTCAGCAGGATACTGTGCCTGGCACACACTTTTGCCCTAAGGAAGGGGATGGACTGGGTGGACTTGGGGAGGGTGCTCCCAGTTGGAGGAGCCTCCAGCTCAGTCTGTTGTAAGGTGGTGAGGGCCAGAGGCAGCCAGCTGGCTTTTCTGTTCTGAGAACAGGGAGCCATGGTTGCCTTAGCCTTCATTTGAGAAGAGGGGTGGTGGTGAGGGGACATTCGCCTTTCTCAAGAAAAGCCCATTAAAAACCAGCAAGAGAGATTTCAGAGAGACTCTGGAAACAGCTTCCTATTAGGGTGACTCAACCAGGAAGGCAGTTTGAGTCTCCTAAACCCTAGGTGGAGATTGCAGCCCGTTCTGTGCTCAGTGTCCCAGAGCAAGAGGGTGGGGAAGTTCTGCGCCAGTGATTTTGCTGCAGGAGCACTTTAGTCTGTTTTGTTCATTTCTCCCACATGAAGCCTTGTTCACTGCTGGAGGACAGCACTTGTGATGATACGTGTTGAAGAGCAGCTTTGGGGAGGGGGAGAGTGACGGTCAGGGAAGCCCCAATTCACAGCATTTCTGTAAATATTGCTGCTGTGGCTGGTTTTAAGCCATTGATGTGATGCTATATTGGTGTGGAAAAGTGTTTAGCAGTTCACCATTGTGTAGCATTCCCACAATTCAGATACAACAGAAGTTAATAACCTCGAGGGTTTCAATGGTAGAGAACTGTAGTAAAATAACCAACAAGTGAGCAGTGTCCAGCACATTTTACCTTTGTTTTCATTGTAATTTAATTTGTTTAATTGTAAGCTTATGAAATTCACCTTTGAACAATGGCTCCACTGAAGGGCTGATTTGCAAAATGTAAGTGGGTCAGGTTACCAAGTGTGTTATTTAACTTTGCATAACTATAACAACATACCTGAGATAATGGACTTCAAAAGAGGAAAGGTTTATTTTGGCTTATGGTTTCAGAGGTTTCAGTCTTTGATTGCTTGGCTCAGGGCCGGGGATGGAGCTCAGCGGTACAAGGGCCTGCCTGGCAAACGTAAGGTCCTGAGTTCGATTGCCAGTACCAAAAAAAAAAAAAAAAGGAAAGAAAGAAAATCTGATTGCTTGGCTCAGTTGCCTTTGGGCCTGTGACCATTCAGCACATCTGGCAAAAAGCACAGGGCTGAGATCTCTCTTCAGGGCAGCAGAAAGCAGAAAAATACAGAGGGGGGTGAGGATTCCAACATCACCTTCTAGGACACACCCCCAGTGACCTAACTTCTACTAATCCCCCCTCTTAAAGGTCTCACCACCTCCCAGTGGTTTGGTGGGCTAAGAACCAAGCTTCCAACCCATGGACCTTTGTGGCACACTTACCCCAGGTAACGAGAAGCCTGGGCACATGTGAAGAGTGAGAGTGGAAATGTCCACTTTTGGAGGCTGAGACAGGAAGATCCCAAGTTCAAGCTCAGGTGGGGCAACTTAGCAGGACTTTGTCTCAAATAAATAAATGAATAAATAAATAAATAAACAGGATTTAGAATGTAGCTTAGGACAAAGACCCTGGGTTTAACCCTTAGTACACACACACACACACACACACAAACACACACACACACACACACACACACGGAGAGGGAGAAAAAGGAGGGGAGAGAAAGACAGAGAGGATTTCAAGACAGTCTTGATATCTGTTTTTTCATAGTGAAACAGCACAAAGTGAGTTGTCTCCATTCTCCTTCTTACTTTCGTTAGCATCTTGCACTTCTCTTCAGCCTTACCAGGACTCAACTCTAGTTCCTCTGGCCACGGAAAACATTATTTAGATAATTTACAGTTCCTTAGAAACTAAGGCCACTTTTTTTTTGGTCTTTTTGAGACAGGGTCTCAATTTGCAGTTCAGGCTGGCCCTGAGCTCACTTTGTAGCCCAAGCTGGTCTCCAACTCACAACAATCCTCCTGCCTCAGCCTCCCAAGTGCTGGGATCACAGGGGTGCGCCACCACACCTGGCTCCAAGGCCACTCTTTTTTTTTTGTTTTTTGTTTTTTTTCTGGTACCAGGAATCGAACTCACAACCTTGCGCTTGCCAGGCAGGTGCTGTGCCACTGAGCTAAATCCCCAGCCCCCAAGGCCACTCTTGACAGTCATCAGAAACCTAACTTGGCATCCACAGGATTTTCATGAATTTGCTTAATGGGGCGACCAGCTTTGGGAAATCTATTCTAGAGATACCTCTGAGTCCTTACTGATACACATACTTGTCAGATTCTCCTCCCCTGGTTTTAGGATTTTATCCCAAACGCTCAAGCCCATGGGCTGGAGGGAATCTCAGTGCACCATCAAGTAGCCCTCTTAGTGTAACTACTGTCATGCATACTGCCTGTTATGTATCAATTACTTTAGGCCCAAACTGTGGGGAAGGGTTGATTTTGTTTTCTGACTCACTGGGAGCAGGGGATTTTTGGGAATTACCCAATCCTTGTCCTTCTAAAATTAGAAAGCTACTCCACTCTTGTGGGCTTAGGTTGTGGAGCTAGAGCACTGGATCTGAACTTGAGTCCCATCCCCTAAGCTTTCTGGAAGCCTCTTCTTGCCTTGCTTCCCCAATTTGGTGGGACCCTTGCAAACCCTGTGCTGGAGTTTCCACTATTCATCCATCAGCCCAGCTAGAGTAATCCTTTCACCCCAGGTGTGGAAACAAAACCAGTTCCACTCAGTCCCGTTGCACTTACATAGGAAGAATGTGTTGACAGGACAGGGAGGTGGACACAGTGGCTGCCCTGGGAAATCTGGAGGAGCTTGAAGGCTGCTGACAGGGAGTGCACAAGACAGCCTTCCCCAGGCCTTTGTGGCCATTGCCCTCAGCATCTTCCTGGGATGCATTTTAGAAGGACAGGCAGGAAAGGACAGTGAGCAGGAGGGAAGATCCTGGAGCTCTTTGACCAAGACAGGAAACTGAGCAGAGAAGGGGGCAAAACTGCTGAGCTCATTTTCATGGAGGCACAGCAAGATGATGGTGGGTTCTGTATGCATTTTTTGGGGGGTGGGGAGAGAAAGGAAAGAGGAAGAACGATTGTAATAAGTTTGTGTGATTAGCCATGTTCACTTATGCAAAGGAAGCCTCTGTTTTAGAATCAGACAGACCTGGATTCATAGTTATTTCATAAACTCCCCAAACCTTAGTTTCTTTATCCATAAACTAGAATAATGGGATTATTGTATGTGACACAGCCTGGTATATAATAGGGGCTCAGCAAACAACTCATCTCCAAACCTCCACATCCCTAATACACACAGTCTGCCAAACAATGTATACACACAGGCAAAGAAACACTTGTATAAATATTTTAATACTAAATTTATTGAGACATCATGCAATTAATACAAGTTATCTTTTTTTTTTGAGACAAAGTCTTACTATGTAGTCCAGGCTGGCCTTGAACTCACTATATAGCCTAGACTGGCCTCGAACTCATGGTGATCCTCCTGCCTCAGCCTCCCAAGTGCTGGGATTACAGGCATGTGCCACCATGCCTGGCCACAAGTTACCTTGGAACTCTACAAGTACAAGAAGTGCTCATAGTGGTGGCTACCTGTTGAAAAGGCA